CTCTGCATGCTGTACCTACTGTACCTACCACACCGGAACCTGCTGTATTGGCTGTCGACGACGTCTCCGCTCAGCGTGACCTTTCGGGTACCGTCCGCCGACTTCGCTCGGTCACGATTGGAGTGGTCACGAGCCAGGCTGTCCTTGGAAGCGATTCTTCCACACTCACTCGCCCGGGCCCGGGGCCGACTTTTTTCATCGTACTCGGCGAGGACGAGCTTCAGGTCCAGGCAGCACCGCTCCAGAAATATCCTCCCCTGTCCCGTCCTGTCCTGCCAGCCGGCTCTGTCAGCGCGTACACGCACGAAACGAGCGGGGGCCGATCAACGACGACCGACCTCATTTCTTTTTTTCCATCGGCCACTCCGCATGTCCTCTTCGTCAAGCCCCGAAGAGCAGGAACCGCCATTGCTTTTGCGTCTCTCTGGGACTGCCAGGCACCCTGGTTGTCCGCTGCCACGCACATGCAAGCCTCAATCCCCGACCTTCCAGAAGAGCACCGGGACTTCTTCGTTCGCAGTTGGCAGCGTGCTGCCCACCTGCCTCTCCCGTCCTTCGAGAAGCATTCTAGCGCTGGCCCGTGCGCCCCCTAGCGTCGCATCTCCCGCGCACGCCGCCGAGCGGGGCTCGAGTTTTCTCTGCCGCCCGCCCGCCGCCCACCCAGTTAGCCAGTGCACCAGCCAGTGCACCCACCCACCCACACACGACACCTGGGAGCTGGGAGCACAAGCCAACATCCCACCACAACTGCCAGCTCAGCTCCCTCGCATCCCGTCCCCTCGTCCGCATGGCATGACGAAAGGGGATGCAATCATCCTCTGGCATTGATGCTTGCGAAATTACATCACCTGCCGAGGAGGGTTGCGCCATATCGCGTGGGGGTGGGACGTCCCCTCTCGCCCGTTTCGTTGTCCGTATCCTCTGCCAGCCTGCCCGTTGTCCTCTGACGCAAATGTGCAGTAGACAGCTCGACTAGCCCAGCAGAGATTGCCCCTAGAGACGCCACGCCCAACGCTGAGGGTTGTATTATTTCCTCCGCTCCTCGAAAACTTTGTGGCCACGGGGTCGACGTACCGAGACGAGGGCTCCGAGCTACTTTCCAAACCTGTTCAATGACGCGAGCCCACCGTTCCGTTTCTATGTGCTCAGATACTACCCCAAAGGTCATGTTGTGTAGTCTTGCAGACAGCCCCTGACTCGATGATGCAACAGACCGAACCGCCCCGAGCATAAAGAATTGGCCTTCGACGCTGATTCGTCTTGAGCCTGCGGACCTGTCCGGCGCCATCGCGACAGGTAGAGATGCCACCCCGCCTGCAGATGCCCCTGCGTCGTCGCCAGGTTTCGATCGGGCTGCGGGCTTATCATCTCGGACTAGGGGCGTTTGAGGTTCGGATTGGATGGGCGCAATGACGGCCGTTGCCGTTACCGCAAGTACCGTAGCGCGAGGAGCACCCGAGAAAAGTGAACGAGTCATGGTGATGGAAGGTGTTGACTCGGGAGGTGGCTTGATGAGGTTTGACAAAAGGCGATGAGGGGGCGCGTCATCGTCGGCACTCGTTCACGGCCATGCTCGGCTCAAATCACGGCCTAGCTATGAGAACCACAGTCTCTTGCCCTGATTTAACAACGTATGGGCGTGACTTGGGTAGAAATCCGCTGCTTCACCAAGGTGTTGTTGCAGCGCTTGTCCTGATGCAACCTCGACTCCAAACCCCGCGGCTCGCTCTTCACATGCAGTGCCATGTCAATCCAACAGCAGTCCATGCGCACGAACCCGTCTGATGAAAAAGACTTCAGCATTGACTAGCAGTGCCTGACTGGAGTCCCTGGACTGGAGCAAACCCAGTGCAACGGGGAAGTCAGGCACAGTTGCCGGCGGAATGGCTCCGGCTACTGCCGGATGTGCACCATGGATATTGAGGGTGTTTGATTGCCTAGCGTTGTAGCCGTCGCGCGTCACACACTTTCTAAGCCAAACTTGAGCCAAGTATCATGAAGAATGATCATGCAGGGTACAAATCCATTCTCACTGACCAGTCCACCCAATGACCATGACAGCTTCGGACAGGTTTACACCACAGCCTCCGTCTTGACCACCGGCACGCCCTTTTCGTTATCGGCAGCCTTCTCCAGCTCCCGACGGCTGCACCGTGCCGCATACCTTGTCCTGCATTCTTCAGGCCAGAACGATTCGCATTTGCAGCTCTTGCCCCATGTCTCGATCAGCAGCACCCAGATGACGAGCCCCAACGTTGTAGAAATAAGTCCAAGTGAGTTCAGTCGATCACCTGCCAAGGGCAACAGAAAGAGGACGATACACACGGCGGCGCGATTGGCCAGGCGCCAGTGCTTGGGAATGCGCTGGTCAGGCGGTGTCTTGTGGTCATGCGAGAAAGAAATGGCGCCCATGCAGAGCAGGGCAATGGCCAGGCCATAGCAGTAGAAGAACCGGATGCCTGCCGACACTTCGGGTTCGGAACGCTCCTCGTAGAGGTGAGTCAAGTCGTGTGGATCAGCATTTGGCAAATCGTGAGCCACGACGAGTTTCGACAGCGAGGCCGCCGCCAGGATGTACGCCATGATGAAAGGGAGGTGTGCCTGGCTCCAGAGCACAGCTAGCACGGGTCAGCGTCTTTGCCAGCAAGTGGGCACCGGGGACAGAAACTTACCTGACCATGTGCCACGCCTGATGGCGTGGACGTGCAGGTTGGAGCCATCGACATCAAAGTAAAGCCAGTTGAAGATGTAGGCCTGGCAGAGGCCAAGGATAGACTTGCCGAGGAAGGCATTCATACCAAAGACGACGTAATTCTGGAAAAGAACGCTGATGACCGAGTATCCAAAGACAAGGGCGACAAAGGCATTCATTCGCTCGACGCGGTGTTCGATGTTCATGGCGGGGAAGAAGTCGAACCACTTGGCCAGGCGCCGGCCCATGGGTGTCTCGCCGTTACTCCACGAGTATCGGAAGAGGAACAGTACGATGCCGTGGCCGTAGAGGTCCAAGGCGAGGGCGGGAAACACAAGGCCGAGGCGAGCGGGCATGGATACGTGGATGCTGGCGATCCACAGGGCCGTGGGCACCACGAGAACGAGGATATTGGAGATCATGACACCGCGGACGAGCGGCAGCAGAGCGCCGGTCAAAACGCAGTAGCAAGCCTGGAAGAAGATTGCAGTGAGGTAGAAGGCGACCATCATGGTGTAGGTGTTATGTTCCGGGTCTGGAGAAAAGCTCTGAATCATGTTCGTCGTGAGGCCGAGGAGACACGAGAAGAGGAAGAGAATCTCGAGACGCTGGAGGATGTCGTCCGTTTCGAACCAGCTGATGAGCTGGGTGATCTCGGTCCAGACCTTCCACGACATGCAGAAGCAAACGACGAAACGGAGAAGCTCGAGGCCATTAGCACCCTCGGCAACCTGCGGGAAATCTAGTTAGGGACCGGGAATCTTCAAGAAGTCGTGATCGATTGGGAAGGGAGCCTTACATGTTCGCCATTGACGTGGATAATGCCGACTGTGGAATATCAGTAGGTGTTTCTGGTTGCCTGGTGACGGCGCATAAGCTTACCGTAAAGCAGGTCGAAGAAGAGCTCAAAGCTCATGATCTGGGCCTCCTCGCTGGCACGCCAGATAAGGCCCTTGTGGAAGTACTGCTTGATCACAGGCCGCTTCCACAGCTTCATCGTCTGGCCCGAGTTGCGATCCGTATAGTCAACAAGGGTGCTGGCCTCGGATGACCCATCGCCACTGCGCAATGTCCCGGCGCCACTGCCACTGCCGCTGCCTCCTCCTTCTTCATCGTCATCGTACGTGCGAAGATGCGCAGCGAATCCGAATTTGCTGAAGCTCGAACTCAGCGCGCTGGTGCGGTCGCCGAGCCGATCGAGAGCGCGCGTCACGTCGTCCAGCTGCGCCTGGACGCTTTCCCACTCATCAAAGGCAGGACCATGACGCTCACGCAAGGCTTGGCGTTCGCGTTCGTGGTGCTCACGGGAGCGTGCGAGGTAGGCGTGATGCTCGTCGGAGCCGTGCAGGATGACCTCGGCCGGGTCGTCGGGGAGAGCAGCCTGGCGTTGCTTCAGGGTCGCGAGGTCGTCGGGAAGCGCGACTATGACACGCTTGCCATCCGGGAGGCGGAATTGATGCGGCTTGCGCCGACCGGCTGGAGGTTGTGCGCGCGGTGTCGACATGGTCCCAGTTGCAGGTGGTGAGCTGGAGCTGACATCCATGGAGAGGATGGGCTCGGCAACCTTATACCTGACCTTGCGGGCGTACCCATGGTGCAACGACCGACCGCGTTACTGATAACACCAATGGCGGCGTACGCGGATCGTTCATGGCGCCCCTGAAAGCAAGCCTCTGTCTTACCTAGAAGCTAGGGTGTCTCGGTCGCGCGGAACTCCCCAAAGTCAAAGCAGTGCACCCATGAAGCATCAGTAAGCAACCCATGTCTTGGGCCCGCTCCAGGCCCCTATCGCGGCATCGATTCGTCCGGGGACGACACGGAGGATGGGACGTGGTGCCTGCTTATTTGATGGAACTGCATCACTACCGACGGGGGAAATCCAGATGTGGTTTTAGGCTCTGAAGAGTCGCGTCTTGGGGGCCCCCAGCGGATGCAATTTGCCGTCCAGGCAGGCATTTTCCAAGTCATCTCCCTGACTCAACCTTGTTAATGGGATTCTTGGGTCCCTGACTCAACCTTGTTAATGGGATTCTTGGGTCCCTGACTCAACCTTGTTAATGGGATTCTTGGGATGACTAAATGCACTTTACCAATGTCCGCAAGCTTTTTGTAAGCCGTGCCGCTAGAGCTCGACGGACGCAGTGGTATTATGCGATAGAAGTAGAAGAAACCAGACCGCAATATGATGGCTTGCGATGGCGTTGATTGCCTGGAGATCTACATCAAAAAAAATAAAAAAAAAAAAAAAAAAAAAAAAAAAAAGACGAGAAAATGCGGCCCGGCTGAGCCGGGCTTGTGTGTAGAGACACGACAAGGGCAGGATTTGAACCTACGCGGGCGAACCCAATAGATAGCCGAGTCAATCCCGCAGAATGGGACATTCGAGTCTATCGCCTTAACCACTCGGCCACCTTGCCTGTGGGATGACAAAGACAGTCCTCCGCTTTACTTATGACCCCACGTCTCTTTCTCAACCCACCTTGACTCCAACACTATCCTGCGGTTGGAAACATCACATTCGCGAGCAATCACCACGACCAAATATGGATCATGGTGTGTCTCAAGTACTCACAGGCTTCCAGAAAGCAAATATCACTGCTATAGAGTGGGAAACACAGCTACTCAGACGCTTGGGATACCCTCTACCAACCCCGTCGCCACGCGATGATTTCCAACTTGAAATCCATCGAGAGCAAAAAAATTAACTCCAGTCAGGATCTCATCTTTCTGATTCCCGACGATGAAATCATCCAGGCTCGCGAAATCGCAACCGCCAGCGGCTTCATGACAGCTGTCCCTACTGACCTCCGAAGTCATACCTTTCCGAGCTCGCAGGTCAGGGCTTCAGTTTCCTGTTTGGAGACCGTCAGAACAAACTGATACTGGTCCCGCTGTCTTGGACTGGTGTTGACCGGGACGAAGCCGAGATTGTACCGCTATCCGAGGACTCTCATCCATGCACGATATCTACTCTGCCCTTGCCCGTGTTCTGCGCCGCATACATACGTGTCATTACTCAAGAGATGCGTGGAAGCAGAGTCCGAACCAGGGCCATCGCGGACCTTTCCAATGTGATTGCCTACGCCATGTTCGACATGAGCTATGATGGGGACTACATGAGCATTCTCGAAGATGACAGCGACGATGAGTGCGCCAAGGTTTGGGCCGAGAACAGAGACGGAACTTCAACGGCAGAGAAAGATGCCCTGGCGATGGAAACGGCGCTTCAAACCATTCGACAATGGCGATTCAACGAGAAAGACCAGTCAACCAGGGAAATGCTGCTTCAATTGGTTTCTGGAACGCTACAGTATGAAGCTTGACCCAGCAGATAAGCGCGGGTTGCAGTGAGCACATCTGTCACGCCCGCTTGGTTGGCCGACTATCATGTTCAACCCGTCGAGGACGTCGGCGTCGCCTGCTGGGAGAGGGCGAACTCGAGGAGAAAAGGTTACCATACGACCTGCCGAACTTGCAATCTGGCTTTCCCTCGATCAGGGGATCGAGCTCGCCAAGAGACGCATCAGCACCGCCCCCGACTCACGTGGCTCTGCCCATTCTCTGGCTGCAGCCGTTCGATGCATCCGCCAAGGGGCCATGTCAGAGTGTTCACGAGGGAGGACAACTGCGTCAGACACATCCGCGGCCAACACCCGCTGCGTGTGGGAGATCCCTTGGTACCCCAGTCGAGATAGAACAATACAAGCCAGATTCATGGCCTCCAATGATTATGCCCATATTACAGGTCGTCTCTGCTCACCCCCTTCTTGTAGGCAGCTAGAGCCCGCTCTCGGCATGCCTTGTGCTCGACAATGGGTGCCGGGTAACCCTTCTTCTTGACCTGCGGCCCAGCACCACGGCCGTACGGATCGTGGATGGCCTTGCCCTTGACGCCGGCGAGTTCAGGCACCCACTTGCGAATGTACGTTCCATCCGGGTCGAACTTCTCGCTCTGCAGAAGAGGATTAAAGATGCGGAAGTACGGCTGGGGATCGACGCCGACGCTGGCACTGAAGCCCCAACCGCCGCTGTTGGACGCAAAGTCGCCGTCGACGAGGTTCTCCATAAAGTGGCGCTCACCCATGCGCCAGTCGATGAGAAGGTCCTTGGCCAGGAACGACGCCACGATCATTCGGCATCGGTTGTGCATCCAGCCCACCTCGGCCATCTGTCGCATCGCCGCGTCAACGATGGGATATCCGGTGCGGCCGGCCACCCAGGCGTCGAAGTCCTCCTTGACATAGGACCACTCAATGTTGGCGTACTCGGGCTTGAAGGGTTTGTTCATGCTGGAGAAGTCAGACGAGTAGAGGAAAAGTAAGGGACAGAAATACTTGCCACACATATGGCCAGTGAACAAGGACGTGCTTGTAAAAGTCCCGCCAGGCCACCTCACTGATCCACGTCTGGATGCCCTGGCTGCCGCCATCGAGCTTCTTGGTCTTGTTGCTGTCGCGCGCCGTGCGGACGCATGTCCTGGAGCTGATGGTTCCGCTGGCCAGATGCACCGAGATGGACGAAGTACCCGTATCTGAGGGAATGTTGCGCCTGTCGGCGTAGCCTCCGATCCTCTCCTCGCAAAATTTGTGCAGCCTATCTCGGGCTTCGTGCTCTCCGGCGGGGAAGTATGAGCGCGCACGCTTCTTCTGGTCATCCGTCAGGGTCTTGCCGCTGACCTCATCGGGGATCTCGCTGTCGAAAAGCGCTGAAAAGGCCTCACGAGCCTCTGTTGGGTTCTTGGTCGGCGGGTCGAAGAGGTCCAACAGCTCCGGATTGCTGTGGACACGACGCATCCAAGCCTTGTACCATGGGGTGTAGACGGCATACTGGTTGCCGGTGCCGCTTTGGAGCTCGCCGGGAGGTACGACACACGTGTCGTGCAGGACCTCAAACGAACGTCCATCCGTGGCGAGCTGGCGCACAAGCTTTGCCTCGCGGCGCAGCTCGTCAACCTCGTACTCCATGTTGGCAAACATGTGACTGGCCTGCCATTCTTCCAGCAGCTCCCCAATCCTCCCAGACACGTTCTTCCTGTCGTCGACTGTCTCCACATACAGTGGGATGTTGAGTTTGTCCAGATCTTTCCGCAGGACCTCGAGGGTGCGCAGGGTGAAGTCAACGCGGATTGGTGCTGTGAGATGCGCCTCGAAGTCTTGCGGGCTGATGATGTACATCGTGATGAGGGGAACGCCGGCCTCTTGCGCCTTTTCGCTGGCGAGCCGCAGGGCTCTGTTGTCGCTCACCCGCAGGTCCATCTTGAACCAGTGAACAACAGCGCCTTGGACCTTGATCTTGTCGCGGGCGGTTTTCGTTTCGATCAATGCCTCGTCCAGCAGCTCGATTGGTCGGGGGAGTTCGTTTTCGCGGTATGCGCGAGCCCGGTCGTTGCTCATCTCATGGGGGTAGAACTTCCGCAGGACAATGCCGTTCTCTTCGGCCTCCTTGTGGAAGGGATGAGGCTCGCGGAGGGGGTCCCTGGGTCTCTTGCGCTGGCCATTAGTCTGCGCCGAGCTCTGGCGCTTCTGGCCACGCTTGTCACCTCCCGTAGCGAGACTCGGAGGCATCTTTGCGGTGGTGCTGATGACGGTCCTGGAGAGATGCGCGGCAGCGTAAAGGTGACGGGTGGTGTAGAGGCAACGTAAAGACATGGGAGATGCTCAGGGGACGGCGATGAAAAAGGGCTCCATTGCTTCTTCTATGGACTAAAAGTTAGAATGGGTAGCCGCCCACCGCGTATGAGACGCGTTCCTCCAAGACCAGCGCCGATGGTCGTGGGCGTCATCGGCTCATGGCGATCGGGCGCGTCGCCGATTGAGATCGATTCAGTGGCCTGGTTGCCGTTGAGCTTGTTCAGTGGGGAGATAAGGATGGGTCACGTGGAGATACAAAGTCGGGGCGATCGCGATAACAGCCTGGAATATGTCGCCTGGCAGGAAGGCCGCTTCCTTTGCGACGCCAAGCTGAGAACGGGTCAGCAGTTTGACTCTCAACACAAATATTACCATGGATCCCAGCCGAAAGTCGATGCTGCAGGGCTACGGCCGCAACTCTCCGCAGCGGGATATCACGGCGCCGCGCCGCGACAACAACAATCGCATCTCGAAACCCGCCCCGAAACCGCGACAGGGCAATGCGTACATGACGCAAGACGAACAGGCGCGACAGTTTGTGGCCGACGAGGACAAGTTTGTGCTCAAGCAGTCGAAGAAGAAGGCCGATATCCGCGTTCGCGAAGGGCGCGCCAAGCCCATCGACCAGCTCGCCTTCAACCTCCGCTTCATCGACGGGGACCGCGACGTTTTCGATGACGATGGCGCCGACGCCTCCGTGGCAGTACCCTCCCCTGAAGACGTTCTTGCTAGCCTTGACGAGACCCAGCTGCAAGAGCTGGAGGCCGAAATCACATCCTACCATACCCTCGAGTCGAACTCGCGAAATCGGGACTACTGGCAGTCGCTGAAGATCATATGCGTCGACAGGCAACAGAAGCTGCGGCCGACGGGCTCTGACGGGCGCGTTGTGTCTTCAGTAGCTGCTGACGTCGACAAGATACTGGGACCCAAGACACATGAGCAGCTTGAGGCGCTGGAGAAGCAGGTCAAGGCCAAGTTGTCGTCCGATGAAGACATCGACACGGACTACTGGGGCCAGCTGCTCAAAAGCCTGCTCGTTTGGAAGGCCAAGGCCAAGCTGCGCAAGATCTGCGAAGCCATCAAGGAGGCCCGTGGCGACACACAGCCCACCAGCAGCACAAAGACACAGACGGCGCCTCGGGGAGCCGCCCCCTCACAACTGGCGCTGGCCCGATCCGCAGCGGCAGCGGCCGCACCGTCAACAGCCGCGCCGCCTGGAACGTCACGCTTTGCGCAGGTGGAGCAAGAAGACTTCTCGCAGGCGACCAAGGCGCTGTACGAGCGCGAGGTGGCCCGCGGTGTAGGCGAGGACGAGGAGGTCTTCGCAGGCGAGGAAACGGTGGTGACGACGTCAACACCGCAATGGGCCGACAAGTACCGGCCGCGCAAGCCGCGCTACTTCAACCGCGTGCAGATGGGGTACGAGTGGAACAAGTACAATCAGACGCACTACGACCACGACAACCCGCCGCCCAAGGTCGTCCAGGGTTACAAGTTCAACATCTTCTACCCGGAGCTCATCGACAAGACCAAGGCGCCAACGTTCAAGATCATCCGCGAGCACGGCCGTAAGAAGGGCGAATCGTTTGCCCCGGCCGGCGAGGAGGACACATGTCTGCTGCGCTTCATCGCCGGGCCTCCATACGAGGACATCGCCTTCCGCATCGTCGACCGGGAATGGGACTACAGCGCGAAGAAGGATCGGGGCTTCAAGAGCTCCTTTGACAAGGTAAGTGAGCACGGCACTCTCCAAGGCCTGATCTGCCCCCGGCCTCTCTCCCCCC